CCTATGGGCATACCGAACTACAGAGAAGACCGCCACTGGAGAAACTCCCTTCAACCTCACCTACGGCACGGAGGTAGTCATCCCAGCCGAAATCGAAATCCCCTCACTTCGGTTGGAAGCATACATCGACAATACTAATAACGACGAGCTACGTACCAACCTCGACCTACTTGACGAGGTGAGGGACCTCGCATACATCAGAACCGCAGCATACCAGCAAAGGGTAGCTCAGTACTACAACGCCAGAGTTAAGAAACGAAACTTTCGCGTCGGCGACCTGATCCTCCGCAAAATCATGGTACCTGAGCCCGGCGTTGGAAAACTCAGGCCGAACTGGGAAGGACCCTACCGAGTGAAGAGAGTATTCGAGGGAGCATACAAGCTCGAGACCCTGGAAGGTAAACAGATACCTCGGGCATGAAACATCGTCAACTTAAGACGATTTTACTTATAAATTATCAAACTAAGCAGGCCATGAGCCACTACCAGAGACTAAGGGCCAGAATGCCGAGCTAACAAGGACCTTGGCACTGAAAGGGGCAGAATACCGAACTAAAGATGACCTCGGCACCTCATCAACGAAAGCAATCTACACAACTATGGAGCCCGATCGAGCACATAGCCTAACTATGTTAACTCGCCTCGGGGCTTAAGTCTAGCAGCTCGGGTATATAGTCACTTCGGCAAAAGGAGAATATTTGCACAACACTTTTGAACAGAAAAAGTACTTCATTGCTAATTTTTTTGCTTTACAGTGTTTAAAAAGAAAAAACAAAAACAAACAAAAAACACAAACGAGTTCACAAACCCAGAGGTCAATCTTCCTCGCCTTCAAAAGGGACTTCGACAACACCCGAAGGACCCGCTTCGTCTTCGGAATCCGCATCGTTATCAGCTGCGGCAGCCATCTCCTGAGTGATGCGCGAAGTGGTTATGGCACTAACATCGAGCTCGGGGTACGTGTTCCTTATCATCCATCGGCTCAACTTGAAACCCCTTTTGTACGAGCCCACCATCATATCGTCAAAGCGCGTCGAAGCGATGTAATCTTCGATGACTTTCACCTTCGCCTCCTTAACGGCCTGAGAAAAGATCTAAGTCTTCTCCCTAATATCTTCATGAAGGTACTCGACCTGATGCTCCAGGTCCAACTTCAGGTCGGCCATATGTCTCACCACCATTCCTAAGGCCTCTTTGTCCCTCTGAGACCTCGATAGCTTGACCCGCGCAGCACGGGAAGCCGCTTCGGCAGCTTCTGCTCGCTTCAATCCCCTCTCCACCTAAATTGCCAAAGCATGGATAGAGGAGTTCACCAGCCAGAACGAGGACAAATCAGCTCGATAAAAAATAAAAAACACTACCCCGACTTACCACCATGGCGTGAGTTGCAGCACGAGCGCCTATGAGATTTGTAGGAAGATYGGCCCACTGCGCGACCTCCTCAGGGCAAATGGCCTTCTTGCTTTTTCGAAGAATGTAGCTCAGCGTCAGCACGCTCCCAACCTCCTCGTGACTTCCTGAGCCCGATGGCATAGCCCGGGTATAGGCAGTGTCGGCATAGGGAGCCCTAGCATAGGGAGCCCCTGCCTCTTCCTGAACTGAAGGGAGCACCTTGGGCTCCCTAGGAGGCCCCATTCTCGGTGCCTCGGGCTCCGTGACCTGGGAAGGATCAGTGTGGACCCRCTTAGCAGCTCGCTTCCTCCTTTTCATGCCAGCGAACAAGTTCGCACCTCGAGTCTTCTTTGCCTCCATAACACCTACAAAAAGGAGCTCGGCGTCAGAAGACGGGAATAAAAGCAAAAGCAAGAGTATCTTCGTCTGAGCAAGAAACCTACCTGAACTCAGACCGGCCTAAATAAGCTTGTCCTCCGTCAGGTAGACTTCGCATTTGAGCCCTTGCCGGGCCCAGTCCTAGAGGCCCTTCACCGTATCTTCGTCTAATGCGACACCGGGGTCAGGAGCGGCCAAACCCCACTCAGTAGGAAACGACCACCCCGTAGCACTTCGAACCACGAAGTAGTCCTGCTTCCATGCCGGGACCTTATTTGGGAGATCGTGTAAGAGCTTGAAGCTTGGGCGAGGTGACAAGTAGTACGCCCTCCTACGCCCGGGCAGGGGACACGCTTGTTTCTTAAGCATGAGAATAGCGGAAAAAATTTCCAAGTCCAAAGGAAGGCAGTGCTCACAGCAAAGGGAGATGGTCCCGACAAGGTTGCGGATAGAGTTCGGGTGAAGCTGACCTATAGTGATGCCGAAGTGGTTCATGACCTCGACGATTAGGGGATGGAAGGGAAGGCGCAGCCCGGAAACAAGCTGCTCCCGGAATATCACGATCTCATCCAGACCGTGCTCCCAAGGAAAGTCGCCCGAGGGTAAAAAGTAAGTATACTCCCCGGGCAGGTTGTACTGGACGATAAGGGACCAAAGCCTTTCGGACGTCATAGTGGAGGGTCCGAACTTATCTGGCACCCGACCTTGGCGGGAGGTGGATGCCAAACTACCCGAGGTGACTCGGCCTACAGGCTCGAACTCGAGCTCTTCCTCGAACTCTACCTCGGGCCCCACCTCAGACTCACTAAGGTTGTCGGGGGCAGCAGCATCGGACCCCCCAGGAGACTACCTAAACTACCCGAGCTAGACATCGAAACAAAGAGGGCTGAGGACTCACCAGGAAAAGCTACTGGACTATGAACAAGTGACGTGAGCTGACAGGCTTGGATGCGAGCTCAAGGAACAAATGCTGAAGGATGACAGAGGAAAGTGACAAGGGGCCCCCCATTATTTATAGCCACTGTACCCGCACATCAACGACCAAAATCGAAACCATCCAACGGCTCCCCGCGAAATCAGTTGTGCACTTCCCGAGGAAAAGACACTTTGGCGCACGTTGTTTACGTTCAAAAATTTGAAATCGTTTACGCGTGTGAGCTACACACAGCCCGGGACTGACCCCTAGTCGAACCAAGCCAACCTTGATTGAGCCAAGAACACAAGCAGGTCAGACCAGAGAAGTCCTAGACCGAGGCCAAAGTGTCCCGAGGCAAATCCACCTGTCATCCCGTGAACTCCCCACGTCGGGTCAAGACCCCGAGCATGGGGAGTGGGGGGCAATTGATGGAGGAAGATTTGACCCGACCCCTTGGCCGTACAACACGTGGAAGCAACCAAGAGTGACCTGGCAGAAGCGCCAGCTCGGCACGACAGCGGGCCCACAGCCCGAGCTCCCCCAAAGGGGGAACCTACAACCCGAGCTCCGAGGTGAAGATTCCCGAGCTCCCCAAGGAGGAACCCGAGCTCTCCCTTCGAGGCCTTGAGCCTTGCAAAAAGAACAAAAGGCAAAGACTCGAACTGCCCACCCAGAGGCAGTTTGGGCCACAATTCTATCCGAGCTCAAGACTTCACCTCGCATGCCACTTCGGCTCCAAGTGTCCTAACTGAATAACCGTACCTGACGCCCAGGAGACCCGTACACGGAGGCGGCGCACCTGACTGATTAGGGGTCCGACACATGACAGCCGCCATCCAACGGCCACCTGCCACTGCCATCTCAGACGGACAAAGGCGTCCTTGGCAGCTGGCAGTGGAGGTTATGACACCCGAATTGGTAATTGGCAGAAGAAATGACACCCGATCTGGCAGAGGAAATGACACCTGATCTGGCAGAGGTAATGATACCCGAACTGGTAGAGGTATGGAAGTAAGTGTACAGGGTGATTATAAAAGGCCCCCATCTCACAAAGAAGAGGGTATGTGATTCTTGCGCTTTCTAGTCTTAAAATTCTTAATTTCCCTTGCCTTCTCAAGAGCACTAACTTGAGCTTCGGAGTATTCCAACCAGGTTTCTCCCCGGAAGACTCCAAGTTCTTCCTTATTTCAGTCACCCCCAACTCCATCAGAGGCGAGGGAACCGACAGCTAGGACTGACCGGATTGCACATCATCACATAGTATCTAATATGGACAGTTTTTTGGTCAAAGGGGATTGAACTACTCATACATACAGTATTTTGAAAGGGAGTGCAAACACAAAATCTATATTAGGGTCCTGATGTTGTTCTCATCGTGTTCTATCATGAGAATTGGAATACTTTTACAAAAGCATTTTTATAAAAGTATTTTTAGAAAAATACTTTTATGAAAACACTTTTATCAAAACACTTTTATAAAAGTGTTTTTTCAACGCCAAAAAGATATATATATATATATATATATATATATATATATTTGTAATTTTCAGATTTTCTTCATTTTAATATATTTTTGTAATTTTTTATATGTTCTGTTTTTTATATAATTTCTTTTTTTTTTTTTTTTTTTGCTTCATGGGGCTACACAACAGGGGGTAGCCCATCCCCTGTATCCCCTGTTGCTTGTCATTCCAATAGTCGGTTAAATAAAGTTGCTTGTCATCAGAATATTAATGGTGGGTCAAGGAGTCAATCTACAATTAATACAGCGATTGATTAGTTTCATTGTCGTTTATTAAATAAACGTTTTATACCACATCTTCCTTAAAAAGTGGTTGAAAAACGTTTTTTAACATCAAGGTGCCACACGAACGGAATAGCATAAAAATGCAAAGTGTTGGGGTCTTTCTCCCATAAACAGTTTAATTAAACAATATTTAATTCAAAATTCATGGAGGAAAACACCTAGGCTATGTGGTGCTGAGTTGGTGTTGCGTTTTAGATAAACGTCAATCCAACCAAATACCACCATAATTTCGATGGTGGGTAAAACTGATGAATCAGGATCCGAGTTGTTAATGTGATAGATTCGAATTTGAGGGGAAGAATATTGACTGGTGATTATTAGATAAGGCCTACTTGAGAAACATTTGAAACAAAATGTTTATAATAAATTGAAAACACAACAACAACTAGGAGGATGGGAAATGATGTAATCTGTGATAATCCATGACCCACGCACCTATGGAAGATTGTATGAAGAGTAATAAGTATTAGGGTAATTTTCAGGCAATGGCTTCCTGGATCGGAGGTACTAATGCTTCTCTTCTTCAGTCATAAATGCGGTGAATGGAAAGGACTTGCCAATCCCCACAGACGTCTTAAAATATATCTTCTGGCTCGTTGGTTCCTCGATGCTCATCTCCGTGATGGGGACCCACAGCAACATCTGTTTGCTCTTGATGCCAGTCATCTTCTTCATCTTGAACTTTTCTATATAAGAAGCAGTCACTTCGGTGGCATATTTCACACGGGTGTTGGTTCCCACAAAGAAGTGCACGTAGGGAGCCTTCTGTTTCATCCACACGAAACCCGTCTCTCGGACTCTTCCACACTCTTGGAGATGTTGAAGGGGAAAGCCCCCTTTGGGAAAGCCCAGCTCTTCCAGAAGCTCTCGATGGAATGGGATAGCTGGCTTCAGACCCATACACAATTTCGGCACCTGCACGTTCCTCCTCCTTCGATTTGATGATGCCTTAATGGGTGAGGAGTTCAAATATAAATAATATTTGAAGGGTGGGAGAGGGAGGGAAAGGAATTGAAGGAGATCGATCGGTTGGAAGTTTGGTAACTTGGTAGCAGGAAGTTGAACCACAAGGGTTCCGATTTTCAAAGTTCCAAGCAAGTTAAGGTGGTGGTTTACCTATTACCTAACGAACCGGCCGGTCGAGGTCGATACATCATACATGGTGGATCCTTAATGTATCTCATCTACGATCTATCTATCTATATCTTAATTATAATAATTAAAAAAAAAACAAAAAATGTATCTCATCTATCTATAATCTATTCAACTGATCATGTTAATCAAGGTACGTAGAAAGAAGAAAGAGATCATTGAAATGCATGGCCTTAACAAACAACGCAACCAGATGCTTAATTAAAGAAACATCCGCGATCAGGGAGGTTTACAGTTTAGGCTCTCTCATCTGTTAGGTGTGACTCATCCATTGGTAGATTATGGTTCTCTGATATACTACAGCCTACGGGTGGAAGTGGAAAGTTCTTAGCAAGACGGGATCTGCTCGTCACACTTGGGCGCCTCACATCCACATCCATTATACATTGGAAACATCTCCCGTAAATAATAACTTAAAAGTATAGGAGATATTCTCAATGCATGGTAGGAATTGCATATATAACCTATGTGAGACGCCCTCTCTATGAGGAGTAGATCCGATCTCGTTTTTAACAAGGCTGAAGATAGCAAAAAGTGCACCAATGTCAATGTACGTGGCTTCTTCTTCTGACCATAGATTTTCAGTTTTGATTATTAATTACCAAAGCGTATGACTGAAGAAGGAACATCTCTCAAAACGGAGAAGAAGGGAGAAGGACTAAAGCCTGATTCAGGTATGGCATTGGCAGCACCTTAATTACCATATTGAACTTGAACCTGAGTACCTCCTGCCTGCTGACCTAAATTTGGGCTTGAGTTGAGGCTTCTGATGACAGTATGAACACGTGTATATAAAAGTTATATATAAGAACACCAAATCCCAATGCCAGTTGTTAAAATTTTGGATATTTGGATTTATTAAATCAGAATCCATTACGTCATGAATGCAGACCTAAATCTTTATATAAAGGAGGCATCTCACGTTTTATATTTTTTCTTTTTCTTCATTTTTTTTATCATGAAGTTCAGCTTTTATGCTTTCAAGAAATCTCATTGTTAAATCGATAAGCAATCTATGAAAGGCAAAATATTAACCTGTTACGTATTATATCGTATTTAAATGAAGGGTATGATCTCAGGAATCAGTTTTTGACAAGGTCGAAATTTATGCGTCTGGCTCTAGAAAACGGCGCCTCATCAGTGTAATCTAGGAAAAAACGGTGATTTAGGAAATAACCTTGTGTTTGGAATTTGATGAGGGCGGATTTGGCCTTTTAATGACATTATGACACCTGACAGTCTCTTGGCAATTAAGTACAGCCTCTTGATACTAGGTAGCTCGCCACTGGGTAGTTCGTCACAGGCGACTCGCTATAGGCAGTTCGCCACAGGCAGCTCGCTACAGGCAATTCGTTGCTGGATAGCTCGCCATCATGTAGCCTGGCACCTCAGAACAACTAGGTGACACCCGGGACCACTTTGGCAACAACTTGCCTTTGCTAAGCTGATGGTGTCCCACCAGGCGTAGTTTGGCACAAGCACGACCTGGCCCTGGCACGAGCTGGTAGCCTAGCCTTGACACGACCTGGCCTTGGCACGAGCTGGCAGCCTGGCCTTGACACGACCTGGCCTTGGCACGAGCTGACAGCCTGGCCCTGGCACAAGCTGGCAGCCTGGCCCCGGCACGACCTGGCAACCTAGCACTGGCACGACCTGGCCCTAGCACGAGCTGACGGCCTGGCCCAGGCATCAACTTGACGGCCTAAGACAGGCGCCAACCTGACAACCTCGAGGAACGCATCTCCATACCCTGCATTTTACGGGATTGTAACTTGTAACGGCTATATTAGCTCACCCACTCCCCGGTTCTGACGAGAAGGGACAATTTTACCGTTTGATGGCATTTCACCCACCTAACACGCAAGACAGTCCCATCACAGCTGGGATCCAGGAACTGTTCCACCTAAACCACGAGGACTCCAGTATATAAAGACCTCACCCCCATAGGCAACAGAGGAGGAAAAAGAGGGTAACCCCTGCTCTCTAGCTCTCTCATTCTCTAATATGATCTTCGAGCTCTCTACTATCAAAGTGCTAACTTAGCCATCAGAGTGACCTTGCCGGGTAAACACCCCCGGGTTCTCTGATTCAGTTCTTGTAGGTCCCTCAGCTCCCGCCGTCTACAAAGATGAGCTGATCATATCCTGTAGGGAGCAGTCGGGTTTCACCAACAAGCAGCTCATCAAGGTAGCTCACCACCAAGCAACTCATCCAGAAAGCCAAGTAGCCCACCCGGTAGCTCGCCTCCAAGCAGTCCATCAAGGTAGCTTGCCTCCAAACAGCCCATCAAGGTAGCTCACCTCCAGGTAGCCCATCAAGGTAGCTCACCACCAAGCAGCTCATCAAGGTAGCTCACCACTAGGGAGCTCGCATCAAGGTAGCTCACCACTAGGCAGCTCGGCACCAGGTAGTTCGCCACTAGGTAGCTCGCCACCAGGGAGCTCCACTTCAACCTCTGAGTCACCAACCACCTGAGAGTAGACGAGATGACGAGGTACTTAGCCAAAAAATTGACACATCACGAAAAAGTGGTACGTGACCGGAAACAGTTACATCAGAATCATTTTTTCATAAAAAACGGTGCTCCAAGCCATGCTTTAGAAATCGGGAAGGTATGGCTTGGAGCAACGCTAAATATGACGTTTCTTGGAACTGCAGCTCGTTGCTGCCAACAGGGCAGTGATGTGGTAGTGGATGATGGGTAGAAGTGCAAAAAACGTTTCCTGAAGCATTGATACTAAACAGAAAAAGTTGTTGCTCCAGAAAACGTCCTACCTGACAGCAATGATTCCAAACAAAAAAAAAAGTGTTCCAAACCACACATCAGCAGTACCGTTTTCTCAGCTGCAACTGCAGCATTGATGCCAATATTGCTACTTAATAATAATAATAATAATAATAATAATAAAATGCAACTAAAACGACACTAGAGTCTAAATTAAACTTTGAAGCTTTCTACTCTTCCCATCTGAATTTTTAATTCTCTTGTAAAAAGATAATCTTACGTTGCCATCAACTCGTTGATCAAGGCCTAGAATGTGGGGCCAACACTCTATGTATGGAGCATGGTCAACCCGCCATTAGTTAATTGTTGTTTTTATAGTAGCATTTTAACAGTCATAAGTATCTGAATTTTTTTTGGTTAAATAAACACCTACTATTTATTATTTTATTTCTATCCCATATTAACATTTTTAATTTTATTGAGCAGTATTTATTCTTCTCCAAAGCTTGTGTTTGTATTTGCTTGTAATCTTTTCAGACTGAAATATTTATAAAATTATTTCTTCTTATTTCACAGCACTTCTAATTTCTAATTTTATGTTGAGAAAAACATAGCCAAATTAAATCAGCAAATTCTTTAAAAAAAAACAAAATAGATTTTTCTCACTATTATAATGCAGATTTTTTTAATTTGAACTCCTGGCACTGACACATAAATCAGATTAAAAGGAAGATTTGGAGCTAAATTATTCAATATAATGAGAAGAAGAAAAAGAGGAGAGGGAGGAGGAAAGATATGATATATTGTTCTATCATCATTTACGGGCCCATGGATTGACTCTATGAGACACGTAGAGAAACAAGACAGAACTACATTGCTCCCTGCACCCAGAAATTTCTTTGTCCATCGGGCTAAAGGATTAGTTTATTAAATTTCTTTGTCCACGTCAGCCCAATATCTACCTCTCCATTGCTCCCTGCACCCAGAAATCAGAAATCTGTTACAGTCAAAGTCTAARGCTGTGTTTGGTTGCATTGCAGTTTTATTTGCACTAATATAAAATGCATGGGAATGCAAATTCCGATTTAACTTTGTTTTAGGTTTTATTTTATAGTCTTCAGATCTTATTTTACTTAATTTGTATTGCAATAAATCAGAATCTACACCCAACACACTTAAACTATCATAGTTTTGCATCAATACAAATTTATTTGCACTACAACCAAATGCGGCATAAAGTCCATGTACCATACTTTACCTTATATTAAATAATTAATTTATTTGTAAAGAAATTGCTTTACAAAGTCTGGGCAGGACCACCCGGCTGTGTGTGTTGTCGCCATTCCTCAAACGATTGAATTGAGCTCACTTTACTTGATGTTGGATATTGCTGGTCCTATTTTTTCTTATTTCATGATTATGTTAGGTCAGTGAACTGTGAACATCTTTCTTTTCTATTGCCAGTGGAAATTTGAAAATGAAAAAAAGAAAAAACTATTACAATGCAATATTGCATTAAGAATATCTTCTTGCTTATGCAATTTATTTCATTGGGAGATATTTTCAATGCAAGATTGCAAAAGGCGATTGAAATGGTGTGAACATAAGTTTGTCCTGATGAATTCAAATCAGCCCCCCACAATGTTTTATAGCAGATCTCTGTCATGTATTGGAAATATCTTCAGATGATATATCAGAAATGATGATATTATCATTGAGAAATATTTTCAATATAGGGCCGAGATGTGCTATGAAACATTGTGGAGAATAATCTTGTAGGAGATTGAAGCCGATCTCAGTATCAGACATGCCAAAAGGGGGGACTGAATCTGTTCCTAGCACATGGCGCCTCGCACCGATCTTACAGGCACGTCACATTGTGCATGTGCATTAAAAACATCTTCCGTATTTATATATTATTATTTAAGAGAGATGTTCCCATGATAAAATGTGACTGTGAAATCGTTGTGAGGCGCCCTGTATAAATAGCAGATACCAATTTTTGGCGCTCATAGAAGGAGGC